AATTCACTCTTGTAGTGGAAAGCGAGTCTGTAGTTCCCTTTCTTGATGTGAAACTAAAAAGAAGACCTGATGGAAGATTGAGCAGTTTAGTTTCATTTTTGTGGAATATCTTGCCAAAAGGTGGCGAAAATCTATTGCAATTATTTGCCTTTGAAACACTGAATCTTGGACATAATACTTTTGATAAATAATACCTATAACTATCTATGTGCCACTCTGTGCTTGTTTAACACTAACTAATATCTTTAATTGTATATATTGATGGATTTACATGTTCAAGTTGGTTCAAGTCAGTGAGTCTATGATTTTGGTATCATTTTAGTTAACTCTATTTGACTGTGATATTATTATTGTTGTTGTCGCTTGTTACCCCTCTAGTTGTGAATTATTTTCCTGTGCTGGTGTTGCTCTGATTGTTTTATTCCTTGTCTTCCTGGTTTTAAGGGAGCAGCCCACAGGGTCGCCTCTCACTAAAATATAATTTAATGTAACAATCCCCTTCTCAGGCGTGAGGCTAGCAACCCCACCCTGTAAACAAAGTCGCTTCAGAAACTTCAGCACGATGAATCTCCTTGCGCCAAAAGAAGAAGTCTGTGTGGAGACATGGAATGTTCGCACCATGTACGAGATTGGCAAAGCTGCGCAGATCGCAAACGAAATGAAAAGATACGGAATTCAAGTACTGGGGGTATGTGAAAGCAGATGGAACGGGAATGGACTCGCACTCGGTGTGCATGTGGTTATCCTCTAGGTGACCGGAGTAGATCACAGACTCACCCGTCGACAATTTGGTAAGTCCATTCCTTTGAGAAGGCCTTCGACAGCGTCAGTCGAGAGGTGCTTTAGAACCTACTTCGCTACTACGGGGTGCCAACGACAATTATACATCTCATCCAACAGCTGTACGACAATAATGCAAACCAAGTAATCCACAACGGGAAACTTACGGAATCCTTCGAAGTGAGGATGGGAGTAAGACAAGCTGGCTGCCTACTATCGCCAATGATTTTCCTGATTGCAGTAGACTGGATAATGCGACAGACAGACTGCGGGCAATGAGGAAACAGGCATAAAATGGACTCACACAAAAACAGACTTGGAGGATCTGGACTTCGCCGATGATATATGTCTGATTTCCCACAAACTGGAAGATATGCAAGCGAAAAGCAACAAGTTGGCAGAAGAAGCATCAAAGATAGAAGCGAATTCAGGTGAACATAGAGAAAACAGAGGTGATGAAGATTCTTGGTCAACACCACCAACAGCAACAACAACAGACAACGATCAGCACAAATGGGAGGAACCTGAAGGAAACAACCTCTTTTACCTACCTGGGAAGCATCGTTTCAACTACAGGCGGAACTGACGAGGATATCAAAGCTATGATCTGGAAAGCAAGACAAGACTTCATTACTCTCAAGTCTGTGTGGAGGTAAATAGCACTCAGCATCAAAAATAAGATCCGGATTTTCAACTCCAATGTGAAGTCACTGCTACTTACTATACGGATCAGAGACTTGCACTGCGCGCCATAAAGAGCATCTCAAACAAACTACACACCTTCATCAACAGCCAGTTGTCTTCGCTCAATACTCAAGATCAGATGGCCGGCCGGCCAGAAAAGATCAGTAACAGAGAGGGATCTCTGGCAATGAGTGAACCAACCAGGAACCGATTGTGAAACAAATAGGCAGGAAGAAATGGAGATGGATTGGCTGGCCATACTCTCAGGAAACCATCAAGTGACATCACTAGACAAGCCATTGCTCGAGTGGAACCCGAAAGGCAAGCGGCGAGAACCGAACTCAATGGAGACGCACGACTGAAGCCCTATGTTCCTCTAGGAATTGAAGGAAACAATAATCCTAATAATAATATTAATAACGAGCATGTTTGCATAAGGGCAACAGTGGCTCTTTAAGCAGTGTGAGAATTTAACATATTATCAGCACTGGTCATTCCATTCCAACACCTTCATCTCCTCTGCATTCCTGAAGCCTAAACTATTCAGTTAAGGCGGCAGGAGCATTGCTAATGGAGCTAAATTATTAAGCCATTCCAACTATCATGGTGACAGCCACTGTTGATTTCAGTTGACGTCATTCCTTGTTCGTTTTCTTGTTTTTCCAACTCCTTATGACTCGTGTGTTTCCTCAGAACTCTTGCATAATTCCACATACTCCTTCGTTTCCATTTGCCTCCTGACTACAACTATAACTCATCCATCACGCGGTTCATCCTATTACGTAATTCCAATACGGTCAGTCAACTCCTTTTATGCACTAACCAATATTAACAAATATAATTATTACAATTCATCTCATTTTTTCCTATTCTCTTGCAGTGAATTTGGTTGGCCATATTAAAACTTCTTGTTCTGTGAGAAATATATGGTGAGGAACTTGCAATTGTTGTGAAGCACCTATGAGAAATTGGATATCCTTAAAAGTCAGTTGATATACACTGAAGAACACCAAGTATGAAGGCGAGGTCAGACAGCATGTAAATGCCAGCAGTTTTAGGACTTGTATACTGGGGTGACTAATTGTGTGTTATAACCAAGTACAGAATAATCACTGTGCTGGAGAGAATCATTCCAATGCCCAAAGTAATCACACTTAGTGAAATGAGTCGCTCATTGAAACAATCCATGGATAGCAAATTCCTCTCTCGTGTTACCTCCAACTGTCACACATACATCGAAGAAAGAGAAGAAGGGATTTGTGGCTGAACATTTGGGTTCACTCCAAGGGATGGCTACCGAAGGACAGGAGCAGAGGTCCACAGTAGAACATCTTCCTTATCGCTCTGGTTAGACTTTGAGATAGAACCTGCGTACGAGTATCTCTCTTGAATTGTAAGCACAAAAATAATGCGCTTTTCTTCACAATTGCCAGTTCATGTTTTCGATCATTATAACCCATGTTAGCTTTCATAAACTTCTCTGGGTATCTATTTCTATCGAGAATATCGCCGACGATCTGAGGTTCTGTTTCTAGAGAGTGTTCCGAGCGAATCGACCTCGTTCTAAATACTGAGCATCTAATCAAAGTACTTTTGTAGTTGAAAGGTGCGAATCCAGGAAATGTATGTAGTGAGATGCAGTGTTTAAGATTATGAATGTAGTTCTTTCAATGGATCCTTCCTCTCTTCTCGTTAGTGGTACATCGAGAAAGTGCAGAGAATCATCGGGTTCTTCTGTCACAGGTGAAATGCACCTGGGTGAACATCATCCATGTGTCTCAAAATCATATCACTACGTAGACCTTCATCTTCATTACGCCATCTATGCAACAACCGTACAGTTCCATTTCAGTAACTTCATCGTAACAAAAGAAAATTCACTAGTTTCTCTAGAAAAATGTCACTGAATATTTGAACTAGTGGAAATCGCAAAGCCACTCAATCAACCTGTCTGTATATTTCATTATTAGGGAAGTATTGGACAATAACTGTACATCTAAGCGATAGGCACTTCACATTAATAATAGGAACATCAGTGCAAAGGGTTCTTAGCATAATCTGTTCTCAGATATAGTCGAAGGCGTCTACCAGAGACATGTTAGTGATGAATAAGTAGCACGCATCGATGGATGACACATCTATGTGTTGATTTCAAATTATTTTTCATCTTAACAGTAAATTTACAGTATACTCTACTAACTGATCACAAAGAGATTCAACTACCTATACCAGCGACTTTGCATTCTCATGATAATGTGATTGAGACGTCTGATGTGGAACAGAGAGTCCCCTTGGATTTCTGCCTTTTCGGTAAACCGTGTTACTGAGGGAAGAAAAAAGAATATTTCACCAACAACACGTGAAGATCTAAAACCCACATGGAGCACCATTCAGTCGTTATCCACAATGTTGATTTGACTATTATAATTTCTGCTCTCACATACCATGTATTGTCAATTTTGCACTCCACATCAACTTATAACTTGCCCTCCTAACTTTGTAATACTCCTATGATTATTTCAATGTATGCAAACAGAGGCTTGGTAGTATCCTTTACCCCTTCTATTCTACTGCCTAATTACCTACTGTTATTATCAATATTGTTAATTAATTAGTGGCCTTTATATTATTAATTCTCAGTAACAAATGAATGTGAATATTTTGTATGTAGGTAGATAACTTTGTTTATGTTGTTGAGTTTCACGTGAATGAAGGACACATCGAGTAGGGTATTTGCTACTCGATGCCAGTGAGAGTTGAGTAAAGAGAAAGTACATTGTCCAGTAATAATAATGGTAGTAATAATAATGATAATAATTATTATTATAAATAACTATATAAACCTGCAGGTGAGCATTGTATATTCATCACAGACAAGATATTCCGCTATAAATAACCTCAGGTCTTGAATTCTCTGCTTCATCTCTGCGTGGCAGTATTCTGAAGTAAGTTAAACACAATAATCTATGAATAATGATAAAAATAATGATAATGGTAATTTGTAAAGTGTGAAGTGCTTTAATACGTTCCACGTTTCAGTGTAGTCGTGTTTTCTTAACGAAGCTGAGCTGACTACTGGTAGTGTGTGAAGCTTAAGACGGCATTGAGACAGGAATCAAACTCAACCGGAATTCGTGGTTGGTGAGCACTCTAACACTGATGGCACCGACGTACAATTTGGATACTGACACCAGCTTATGCAAGGGAAAAAGATTTAGTGTTGAATAGACACCTCTGTTTCCGCTATCATTGTGATGACAATTAAGATACTCTTAACAAGCAACACGGTTATCGATGAGTGCAATACTGACAGTAACATTATCTCATATTTGTAGGACTTGTTATTTCATGTTTAAGGCAATATGCCGTTTCCTGAAATTTGAACGCATCTTTGCTAAGAATACTATGTGACGTGGATCACACAGTCAATGCACAATTTTTGATTAACTGAACAGTTTATTTTCATATGACTTTCCAGACAATATCGAACGCTAAACAAAAATACAATGAAGTTCTCCGTAGTGTTTATTTGCATAATGCAGTTGATACTTGTCAGATTACAAGAGAATTTAGAATATGCGTACGAATATGTGTGGGGTATGCCTATTGATGAGAACGCTCCAAATGATATTTCTATGAGCGAGACCACTCCAGAGATTACAACTATGGGTGAAACCACTCCAGAGACTACAACTATGCGTGAAACCACTCCAGAGACTACAACTATGCGTGAAAGCACTCCAGAGACTACAACTATGCGTGAAACCACTCCAGAGACTACAACTATGGGTGAAAACACTCCAGAGACTACAACTATGCGTGAAACCAATCCACAGACTACAACTATGGGTGAAACCATTCCAGAGACTACAACTATGGGTGAAACCACTCCTGAGACTACAACTATGCGTGAAACCAATCCAGAGATTACAACTATGGGTGAAACCACTCCAGAGACTACAACTATGCGTGAAACCACTCCAGAGACTACAACTATGGGTGAAACCAATCCAGAGACTACAACTATGCGTGAAAGCACTCCAGAGACTACAACTATGCGTGAAACCACTCCAGAGATTACAACTATGCGTGAAACCACTCCAGAGACTACAACTATGCGTGAAACCACTCCAGAGACTACAACTATGCGTGAAACCACTCCAGAGACTACATCTATGGTTGAAAGCATTCTAGAGACTACAACTATGCGTGTAACCACTCCTGAGACTACCACTATGAGTGGAACCACTTCTGAAGGTGCAGCTAAGACTACAATGACAACTTCTACGATGGATACTTCTACTTCAACGCGTAAACCTGATGACTCAAAAGGCAAAGGCGGTGAGTCGGTGTTTTAATTGAATGGTATTCATGCAGAGTGTTATTAGCTTAATTACTTTGTCGTCATTTTATGATACGAAGGCTGAATTCATTTCATCTTGACTATACTTCAGTTAGGTAGATATTTACATCACATTTTCCATTTATTTCAGCATGAAATTATTATCATTATTACTACTGTTCATTGACTGGTTTTCGACTGAAGCGTAGAGCTTCAGGAGCACACCTCTATTTCACTCGATTCTCTGAGGTCGCTCTCAATCAATTGCATGATCACTTTGATTTCCTCTTGCATTTTACGCTGGCAGCACAGCCAACTCATCGCCTCCTATTCACGCTCCACTCGAAGGAGTCTTGACTCTTTCCTTAATTTCCCTTCAGTGACGACAACTCCCTTATGAATTATTCTAAACAATGAAGAGGACTACAAAGGCACACACACGCACGCACATGCTTATTGCAGAGAGTGACGCAATGTGGTATACTTACGTCCTCATGTAAACATGATCTTTGTGATTTCGACATAGAGACTGTGATGTTGTTTCCTCATGCCTAAACAAACGAAAGACATCACGTATCATGTTTGTGGGTGCATGAGAAATATTTGACAGTGAATAGTGATAAACAAGCATCTCAGGATGAAAGAGGTGAAGTCGTTGGCTAGACACAGCGAATGTGCATGTAGAATGAAGTTTTAAGTAGCTGGGATAGTTCTCTCTAAATTAGCGATCAAATATTTGTGACACCCTGACAGCTTGTAATTAAACTGTTGTGAGAAATCCACAAATCCTAAAGTCATCTCTACCGTAAGATTACGTTTGTTTTATCAGATTTCTATTTGTGTATAAAAACTCCTTTGCGCTTATTTTTCGTTAATCACACTACATTGTGTTGTTATCATATTCGTGACAGGTATAGGAACAGGAATAATTGTGGCAATTGTATTCGGCTGTCTCGCAGGAGTTGCAGTTATTGGTGCAATAATCTACTTTGTTCTACAATAACTTTTGCCCAGATAATGTGCGATGTTTCGAATTTTGTCCCATAATAATAATGGTTGATGACTTATGTATTTTATTTTGTAATATTTTCATTGACACTTGATTAGCTTTGGATAAAGCAGATTTCTGTTTTCTGAGACAACTTGTTATTTCAGTGCACACATTATTAGTTTTACTTCTGTAGAATCGTTATTAGTAAATGTAATACAAACTTATCACAATTTTTCTTGACCTAATGGTTTTCAATGATTTTGATGGTCCTGCATGACAGTCTCCCACCAAAGTCAAACTTGTCATTTCTTAACCGACTTACATTGGGACGTCGACGATTTTTGCGATTTCACTCAACGATCTCCCCAACATATCTTCAGTCAACATCCATCTCATTCGGCATACCTTCTGATTGATTGCTCGACGTTGGTTCTTCGCCGGAATTCATTGTTGTTGATACTTTCTGGCTTACCAACTAATCTTCAGCGTCAGTTAGCTAAGACAGTTCTTGATCAGCGTCCGCAATTGTCTGTCAGAAGTGCTTATGGTGATGCATCAAGTCTCTTGATGATTCAAACATTAAATCACGTATCAGTGAGAGATGGTTGAATTGTGAAACTTGGTTGAGTAGTCTTACTTAATCTAAACTCAATGAGGTTTCATAAGACTACTCGAACTAGTTCCTCAATCTATCCACTTTCCATTTGATAAGTTGTATAGCCTTTCAGCTTGGGCTTCGTCTATTCGCCTCCCATTTAACACTACTATTTCTCCACTTTATCACCAATGAGAAAGTAGTTGTGTGACCAGATTGTTGGGAATGAGTTATTTTCCGTTCACGTTTTCTGAGATCTGTGATGTATTGCAAACCTTCCATTGTCCTTCTACACAGCGTCTTCAGTGCAAGCTTCAACACAAAGTTGTAGTCGAGAAAGGCAGTGAGAGCTTACCAATTTAATCACCAACCTCAGAAAACCGCTAGAAAAGGCGTATCCACAGACTTCTACGAATGGTGAAAACGTCAACAGATTGCCATCAATGTGATGAGTATTGCCTGCGAACAGAAACACTACAATCAGATCCATTGACAAGGAGGGTTATGTCTACTTGCTACGCTAATGAATTTCTATACCCACATCGTTCACCTTCAAGACGTCTCAGTCACACAGTTGAACAGTCACTACCTACAACTTTTGTATGCTATCTGACCACTTTACTAAGTTTGAAGGGTGTTGGTCATCTCTTCTTACTAAGTGTAATTTGTGCTACCTATTATGAATTTTGATTTGATTTCTTTAATCTTTTGTCGTAACCAGCACTGCTGACTAGAAATAAAGTATTAGGCGAAATTATTCTGCCTCAATTCGACTGTTTCAGAACACTCTATCTAGAATGCCTATTCACTCATTCCAATCACACTGGTTCTAATCCCATTTTAAGTACTATCCGCCAAAGATTTAATTCAAACCGCAGTGCATACAGATAAGTTGTGTCCACTGGGAATAGGATAAAATGTGGTTGACGCAGGTTTTCATATACTCAGACAGCACAAAACTATTTTCACTTACTTTTGATTGCATTCATTTCACTGGATGAATGAATGCCAGTTTTTATCACGAAAAGGGCAGCATTTCAGAAGAAGTCGTCCATTCTGACTTCAAACTTGTTTCTCTAGAAATCTGCACATTCACTCTCATTGTCTTGAAACTCAACACAATTAAACAAGAAAGACAGAAACAGTCATCCACTCCATTCGTTCAGCATGAGAAGTGGCAGTAAAAGTTGAAAATCTAGAAGGTCGTCACTTCACGGATAATTCATGTCACATGTCACACAAACTTGGAGGTATACAAGCGAATACCAAAAATAAGGTGAATACATAGAAGACGAAGTGGCTGAACAAACACTCCCGAGCACCAATTGTGGCAGAACGATGATTTCGACCATCCCTCCTGGGCAATCTAATCACAATATTCATACACATTCGGATGTTTCAACTAACTCGATAATTACTACCTGTTCATCTCCTAGACTGGTTCAACAGAATACTATGCATATTTCAACCTCCTATTTCATGTCGATTGAAGTCAACCGAAATCAAACAACCAGTGACTGATTAAATAACTAAACCCCAGTTTTACAAAACAACGATTTGGTTATTCAATAATATACCTTGACTACTGTATCATCCATTCTGCTGTAACAAAATTACTGAGGAATTTTACCAACAGCTGTAACGCAATGATAGTCATGAACAAATAGCAAAAAACGAAAGAAATTTAACAGGCTGCAGAGAGGGAAGAAAAAGAAAAACTTGTTACATTACACATATACAAATATACCCAGAGACTGTATATTACATCAAGCCACAAAACGTTCAATGAAGACATAAGAAAGTTTGTATGAATAAGAAGTAAAGGATTCTGGAAGTTAGTGTAGCCAGTTATAGGGGAGAGCGGAAAATCGAGTGTAGTGGAGATATGCCTCTGAAGCCCTATGCTCAACATGGAACTCAGGAGGTCAATAAGAAGGAGAAGAAGCAGAAGAATTTACGCCACACTTTGAACTTTCCAATTATTTCGCTACTCAGATTAAATTATCGTTCATTTTGCCAATATATGCATAGTGGCTACTAGCAAGTAACCAGTCTCTCCTCTACAAAATAAACCATACTCAAACTTCGAGTGAATCAGTTAGTCACCTGCCTCACTTCACTGTTGAAAATACAGTCTTAATCAAGTCAACTGGAACCTGAATCAGGAAGCAGAGGAAAGACTTAACTTCAATTATTTCGACTGTGAACAAACAAGTGGGTCTAAAAATTGTAAATCTTCTGATATCGTTCTCACAAACATGTCTTCTCAAGTTCGTTACAGAGTTTGAGTTGCAAACTAACTATAAGCTGTAATGTTCCAGACTATTTCGTTACAGTGAAACAATCTGCATTCTGTGTAATGCTAAGTTAACTGTAATTTTCCCTCACAGATTTATCCGACTGAACTTTAGTGTTAGTAGTCTTGGCCTCTCCGTGTTTATACACTTGACTTCAACATTTTTGCAGTGTCCATGTAGGCACATCTAAGTGTTTCATGGTATTCACAACTAGTAAGGCAAATTATCCACATTCACCAAACTCATATAAACACTTATTGGCAACTAAGCGTTGAGCTTCCTATTCAGCAAACTGCCAAAATTGGAAAGCAAAAGTGACTTTGTGAAGTCATTGGCTTTCCCCGCGCATTTGCTAATACAGACAGTAGTGGTCACCTATGTCTTATTCAAGTGGTTACTTCTCTTCACTCCCATCCAATCTTAGCAAAATGCACAGACTCTACAACCAGCAATCACAACGTATTGGTATCATCGACACGAATATAAGTATGTTATTCAGGCCTCTGACAGCAGGATGACACTCTTGTTATTGTCATGTTCCTGAATGAACCTCTTGCTCACGAGAGAATATGATAATTACTACTCGTACAACAGTCCGCAGTATTAGTCTATTCTGTGGTAGGCCTCTGAATCATTTCTCAGTGTGCGTGGTTGCAGGAACACGCCAGTCATCCTTAATTCCAGTATCACGAGTTACCTATTTTACCGCACTGCAAGCTATCAACAATACTGCGATTCCGAACTCTCCTACTATTCAACAGATAACTAAGTTACATAATCGTGTTTATCTGTTCCGATCGAGCACTTCAGTCCAATCGATCATCGGAAAAGTCGAAATTGAATTAATGATAATAACAACTGAGGTGGAGGTCAACAGCACTCAGCATCAAAATTAAGATCCGGATTTTCAACTCCAATGTGAAGTCAGTGCTACTTACTATACGGATCAGAGACTTACACTGCGCGTCATAAAGAGCATCTCAAACAAACTACACACCTTCATCAACAGCCAGTTGTCTTCGCTCAATACTCAAGATCAGATGGCCGGCCGGCCAGAAAAGATCAGTAACAGAGAGGGATCTCTGGCAATGAGCGAACCAACCAGGAACCGATTGTGAAACAAATAGGCAGGAAGAAATGGAGATGGATTGGCTGGCCATACTCTCAGGAAACCATCAAGTGACATCACTAGACAAGCCATTGCTCGAGTGGAACCCGAAAGGCAAGCGGCGAGAACCGAACTCAATGGAGACGCATGACTGAAGCCCTATGTTCCTCTAGGAATTAAAGGAAGCAATAATAATAACAACTGATAGTCGTTGCAGAACAGGTGGCTCTCGTGACTCAATCGTTGAAGTGGATAGCGATTGGCGCATCTTGAATTCGACAGGTAATCGCCACCCACCAAAGAATGTCCACTATTCCTTTATCCAAACTTATCTCATTAGGCGTTGTGTTTCAAATGCTTCATTTCAACCAGACTTAATACGTGGATGAACTGTTCAATGCGCATTTATATCAAACACACAATCTTCATGTTTCCCCTATCAGTTTACGAACTAAGTCACTTAAAATTCAGGTTATTAGAGACTATTCCAAAACAAATGTGTTTACATCATTTTCGACTAGACGGGAACAAATTCATGAGTTCAAAGTACCTGCATAATATCATAATTATTCATTCTTTGCATCTCCAATAGAATGGAGCACTTCAGTCAACCTCAGGACCAGACCAAACTCGTTCAATCTGATTCAGGTTCTACTCGAAGACCTGGTGTGAAGCGTAATTTAAAGATCTTCTTAGCGCACATTCAATCCATCTATCTGACGACTCGCAGTCAGACTTCCTCGAATTTTACTCTTTCTTGTCGGTCATTCGATATTCGGAATAGAGAGAAAGTGGCTGTGAATGAAAGTCTGTAGTGATCTGTTGGAAATACTTCTGGTGATACGCTCATCAAGTCTATGAACTATGTGGGAGCACCGACCCTTTTGACATTAATATTGAAAATGCGTGTGTACTCCTGATAACTGAAAATCACCACATTAATTTCAGAGTAATGAACACCTATCCTAATCTGTCAATACTACCAATAACATCTCCATCACTGTTCCATATTTCCTACTTTTCCTCCTACACATCAACCGATAATTAGGAAGTCAGTCGACATTTTAAACCAGCCACGATACTCTTTATTCGGCCAAAGTTTATTCCATCCTACTTTGCACTCGTTACTCTGTATACCGTCTCACCATGGCGAAGGCAACCATCAAAATCATTGAAAGCCATTAGGTCAAGAAAAAATGTGATAAGTTTGTATTACATTTACTAATAACGATTCTACAGAAGTAAAACTAATAATGTGTGCACTGAAATAACAAGTTGTCTCAGAAAACAGAAATCTGCTTTATCCAAAGCTAATCAAGTGTCAATGAAAATATTACAAAATAAAATACATAAGTCATCAACCATTATTATTATGGGACAAAATTCGAAACATCGCACATTATCTGGGCAAAAGTTATTGTAGAACAAAGTAGATGATTGCACCAATAACTGCAACTCCTGCGAGACAGCCGAATACAATTGCCACAATTATTCCTGTTCCTATACCTGTCACGAATATGATAACAACACAATGTAGTGTGATTAACGAAAAATAAGCGCAAAGGAGTTTTTACACACAAATAGAAATCTGATAAAACAAACGTAATCTTACGGTAGAGATGACTTTAGGATTTGTGGATTTCTCACAACAGTTTAATTACAAGCTGTCAGGGTGTCACAAATATTTGATCGCTAATTTAGAGAGAACTATCCCAGCTACTTAAAACTTCATTCTACATGCACATTCGCTGTGTCTAGCCAACGACTTCACCTCTTTCATCCTGAGATGCTTGTTTATCACTATTCACTGTCAAATATTTCTCATGCACCCACAAACATGATACGTGATGTCTTTCGTTTGTTTAGGCATGAGGAAACAACATCACAGTCTCTATGTCGAAATCACAAAGATCATGTTTACATGAGGACGTAAGTATACCACATTGCGTCACTCTCTGCAATAAGCATGTGCGTGCGTGTGTGTGCCTTTGTAGTCCTCTTCATTGTTTAGAATAATTCATAAGGGAGTTGTCGTCACTGAAGGGAAATTAAGGAAAGAGTCAAGACTCCTTCGAGTGGAGCGTGAATAGGAGGCGATGAGTTGGCTGTGCTGCCAGCGTAAAATGCAAGAGGAAATCAAAGTGATCATGCAATTGATTGAGAGCGACCTCAGAGAATCGAGTGAAATAGAGGTGTGCTCCTGAAGCTCTACGCTTCAGTCGAAAACCAGTCAATGAACAGTAGTAATAATGATAATAATTTCATGCTGAAATAAATGGAAAATGTGATGTAAATATCTACCTAACTGAAGTATAGTCAAGATGAAATGAATTCAGCCTTCGTATTATAAAATGACGACAAAGTAATTAAGCTAATAACACCCTGCATGAATACCATTCAATTAAAACACCGACTCACCGCCTTTGCCTTTTGAGTCATCAGGTTTACGCGTTGAAGTAGAAGTATCCATCGTAGAAGTTGTCATTGTAGTCTTAGCTGCACCTTCAGAAGTGGTTCCACTCATAGTGGTAGTCTCAGGAGTGGTTACACGCATAGTTGTAGTCTCTAGAATGCTTTCAACCATAGATGTAGTCTCTGGAGTGGTTTCACGCATAGTTGTAGTCTCTGGAGTGGTTTCACGCATAGTTGTAGTCTCTGGAGTGGTTTCACGCATAGTTGTAATCTCTGGAGTGGTTTCACGCATAGTTGTAGTCTCTGGAGTGCTTTCACGCATAGTTGTAGTCTCTGGATTGGTTTCACCCATAGTTGTAGTCTCTGGAGTGGTTTCACGCATAGTTGTAGTCTCTGGAGTGGTTTCACCCATTGTTGTATTCTCTGGAGTGGTTTCACGCATAGTTGTAGTCTCTGCAATGGTTTCATCATAGGTCTCACCAATAGGTATAATCAAAACATATTCGTTCGATAAGTTCAAATTCTTTTGTAATCTGACAAGTATCAACTGCAGTATGCAAATAAACACTACGGAGAACTTCATTGTATTTTTGTTTAGCGTTCGATATTGTCTGGAAAGTCATATGAAAATAAACTGTTCAGTTAATCAAAAATTGTGCATTGACTGTGTGATCCACGTCACGTAGTATTCTTAGCAAAGATGCGTTCAAATTTCAGGAAACGGCATATTGCCTTAAACATGAAATAACAAGTCCTATAAATATGAGATAATGTTACTGTCAGTATTGCACTCATCGATAACCGTGTTGCTTGTTAAGAGTATCTTAATTGTCATCACAATGATAGCGGAAACAGAGGTGTCTATTCAACACTAAATCTTTTTCCCTTGCATAAGCTGGTGTCAGTATCCAAATTGTACGTCGGTGCCATCAGTGTTAGAGTGCTCACCAACCACGAATTCCGGTTGAGTTTGATTCCTGTCTCAATGCTGTCTTAAGCCTCACACACTACCAGTAGTCAGCTCAGCTTCGTTAAGAAAACACGACTACACTGAAACGTGGAACGTATTAAAGCACTTCACACTTTACAAATTACCATTATCATTATTTTTATCATTATTCATAGATTATTGTGTTTAACTTACTTCAGAATACTGCCACGCAGAGATGAAGCAGAGAATTCAAGACCTGAGGTTATTTATAGCGGAATATCTTGTCTGTGATGAATATACAATGCTCACCTGCAGGTTTATATAGTTATTTATAATAATTATTATTATCATTATTATTACTACCATTATTATTACTGGACAACGTACTTTCTCTTTACTCAACTCTCACTAGCATCGAGTAGCAAATACCCTACTCGACGTGTCCTTCATTCACGTGAAACTCAACAACATAAACAAAGTTATCTACCTACATACAAAATATTCACATTCATTTGTTACTGAGAATTAATAATATTAAGGCCACTAATTAATTAACAATATTGATAATAACAGTAGGTAATTAGGCAGAAGAATAGAAGGGGTAAAGGATACTACCAAGCCTCTATTTGCATACATTGAAATAATCATAGAAGTATTACAAAGTTAGGAGGGCAAGTTATAAGTTGATGTGGAGTGCAAAATTGACAATACATGGTATGTGAGAGCAGAAATTATAATAGTCAAATCAACATTGTGGATAACGACTGAATGGTGCTCCATGTGGGTTTTAGATCTTCACGTGTTGTTGGTGAAATATGCTTTTTTCTTCCCTCAGTAACACGGTTTACCGAAAAGGCAGAAATCCAAGGGGACTCTCTGTTCCACACCAGACGTCTCAATCACATTATCATGAGAATGCAAAGTCGCTGGTACAGGTAGTTGAATCTCTTTGTGATCAGTTAGTAGAGTATACTGTAAATTTACTGTTAAGATGAAAAATAATTTGAAATCAACACATAGATGTGTCATCCATCGATGCGTGCTACTTATTCATCACTAACATGTCTCTGGTAGACGCCTTCGACTATATCTGAGAACAGATTATGCTAAGAACCCTTTGCACTGATGTTCCTATTATTAATGTGAAGTGCCTATCGCTTAGATGTACAGTTATTGTCCAATACTTCCCTAATAATGAAATATACAGACAGGTTGATTGAGTGGCTTTGCGATTTCCACTAGTTCAAATATTCAGTGACATTTTTCTAGAGAAACTAGTGAATTTTCTTTTGTTACGATGAAGTTACTGAAATGGAACTGTACGGTTGTTGCATAGATGGCGTAATGAAGATGAAGGTCTACGTAGTGATATGATTTTGAGACACATGGATGATGTTCACCCAGGTGCATTTCACCTGTGACAGAAGAACCCGATGATTCTCTGCACTTTCTCGATGTACCACTAACGAGAAGAGAGGAAGGATCCATTGAAAGAACTACATTCATAATCTTAAACACTGCATCTCACTACATACATTTCCTGGATTCGCACCTTTCAACTACAAAAGTACTTTGATTAGATGCTCAGTATTTAGAACGAGGTCGATTCGCTCGGAACACTCTCTAGAAACAGAACCTCAGATCGTCGGCGATATTCTCGATAGAAATAGATACCCAGAGAAGTTTATGAAAGCTAACATGGGTTATAATGATCGAAAACATGAACTGGCAATTGTGAAGAAAAGCGCATTATTTTTGTGCTTACAATTCAAGAGAGATACTCGTACGCAGGTTCTATCTCAAAGTCTAACCAGAGCGATAAGGAAGATGTTCTACTGTGGACCTCTGCTCCTGTCCTTCGGTAGCCATCCCTTGGAGTGAACCCAAATGTTCAGCCACAAATCCCTTCTTCTCTTTCTTCGATGTATGTGTGACAGTTGGAGGTAACACGAGAGAGGAATTTGCTATCCATGGATTGTTTCAATGAGCGACTCATTTCACTAAGTGTGATTACTTTGGGCATTGGAATGATTCTCTCCAGCACAGTGATTATTCTGTACTTGGTTATAACACACAATTAGTCACCCCAGTATACAAGTCCTAAAACTGCTGGCATTTACATGCTGTCTGACCTCGCCTTCATACTTGGTGTTCTTCAGTGTATATCAACTGACTTTTAAGGATATCCAATTTCTCATAGGTGCTTCACAACAATTGCAAGTTCCTCACCATATATTTCTCACAGAACAAGAAGTTTTAATATGGCCAACCAAATTCACTGCAAGAGAATAGGAAAAAATGAGATGAATTGTAATAATTATATTTGTTAATATTAGTCAGTGCATAAAAGGAGTTGACTGACCGTATTGGAATTACGTAATAGGATGAACCGTGTGATGGATGAGTTATAGTTGTAGTCAGGAGGCAAATGGAAACGAAGGAGTATGTGGAATTATGCAAGAGTTCTGAGGAAACACACGAGTCATAAGGAGTTGGAAAAACAAGAAAACGAACAAGGAATGACGTCAACTGAAATCAACAGTGGCTGTCACCATGATAGTTGGAATGGCTTAATAATTTAGCTCCATTTGCAATGCTCCTGCCGCCTTAACTGAATAGTTTAGGCTTCAAGAATGCAGAGGAGATGAAGGTGTTGGGATGGAATGACCAGCGCTGATAATATGCTAAATTCTCACACTGCTTAAAGAGCCACTGTTGCCCTTATGCAAACATGCTCGTTATTATTATTATTAGAATTATTGTTTCCTTCAATTCCTAGAGGAACATAGGGCTTCAGTCATGCGTCTCCATTGAGTTCGGTTCTCGCCGCTTGCCTTTCGGGTTCCACTCGAGCAATGGCTTGTCTAGTGATGTCACTTGATGGTTTCCTGAGAGTATGGCCAGCCAATCCATCTCCATTTCTTCCTGCCTATTTGTTTCACAATCGGTTCCTGGTTGGTTCGCTCATTGCCAGAGATCTCTGTTACTCATCTTTTCTGGCCGACCATCTGATCCCCCGCCGACGCACACCCTATATCTATGGTCGGCCTGCAATATTTGGGCTACCGATATCCATGCTGAAAATTCCATACTTGTACTGAAAATACGGTGTGGCCTCACGCTGTAACCAAAATGAATAATAAAATCTGATCAATGCATGACCTGTTTCTCCTGACTCCAGCCTGTTCCGGTCGAAGTTTTTCATCCAGGGCGGCGTGACTGATTCTCTCCAGGATGATGCGGCTTAGTATTTTGCTTGGGATGGACAGCAGCATAATTCCGCGCCAGTTCTTGCATTGACTTAAGTCTCCTTTCTTTGGTAGTTTGAATAAGTAGCCTTTCTTCCAATCCTCGGGTACTTTGCCTTCCTTCCACATCTTCAGTAGTGGCGTCATCAAGTCCGCTGTTGTCTCTGGGTCCGTTTTCAATGCTTCTGCTGGGATTCCATCTGGTCCTGCTGCTTTTCCAGCTTTTAACATCTTGATTACCTTCAGGACTTCTGTTCTCGTCGGAGGGTTGGTGTTCACTGGTAGCTCTGTCTCCGTCGTTGGTATTGTTGGGCGCGTTGTAGGTGGTGGTCGATTTAGGAGTCTTTTGAAGTGTTCAGCCCAGCGTTTCCTTTGCTCCACTTCTTTGGTGAGTAAGCCGACCGATAGCTGCTACCTTGACGTGGTGGTCAGGCTTGCATATAGCAATGACTCAACGAGCTACACTGGCTGGAACTTATGTTCGTGTAGGTCCTACCATGCCAGAAAGGTTGTTTGGATAGCGGTTAGACAAAAAGCAACTACCCAATCCAATACTATGATTCAAACAAACTCACAAAATATCATGCCGGGTCGGTGGGGGACCGGATTAACAACGAACGTGCTTCCCGCCGCTGTGTCACAGGGCAGAAGAGATAAATATGCTACTGACACACAGCAAACAAGAAAAACTAATAAAACAGGCTGCATACGACCGGATTCAAGCAGTTGTCCCCTGGACTCTGCGGTCAAGCAACACTAACCTTTTCTCACTCCCGTTCTCAGGCGTGAGGCTAGCAACCCCACCCTGTAAACAAAGTCGCTTCAGAAACTTCAGCACGATGAATCTCCTTGCGCCAAAAGAAGAAGTCTGTGTGGAGACATGGAATGTCCGCGCCACGTACGAGATTGGCAAAGCTGCGCAGATCGCAAACGAAATGAAAAGATACGGAATTCAAGTACTGGGGGTATGTGAAAGCAGATGGAACAGGAATGGACTTACCAAATTGTCGACGGGTGAGTCAGTGATCTACTCCGGTCACCCAGAGGATAACCACATGCACACCGAGTGCGAGTCCATTCCCGTTCCATCTGCTTTCACATACCCCCAGTACTTGAATTCCGTATCTTTTCATTTCGTTTGCGATCTGCGCAGCTTTGCCAATCTCGTACATGGTGCGAACATTCCATGTCTCCACACAGACTTCTTCTTTTGGCGCAAGGAGATTCATCGTGCTGAAGTTGCTGTAGCGACTTTGTTTACAGGGTGAGGTTGCTAGCTTCACGCCTGAGAAGGGGATTGTTACATTAAATTATATTTTAGTGAGAGGCGACCCTGTGGGCTGCTCCCTTAAAACCAGGGAGACAAGGAATAAAACAATCAGAGCAACACCAGCACAGGAAAATAATTCACAACAAGAAGGGTAACAAGCGACAACAACAATAATAATATCACAGTCAAATAGAGTTAACTAAAATGATACCAAAATCATAGACTCACTGACTTGAACCAACTTGAACATGTAAATCCATCAATATATACAATTAAAGATATTAGTTAGTGTTAAACAAGCACAGAGTGGCACATAGATAGTTATAGGTATTATTTATCAAAAGTATTATGTCCAAGATTCAGTGTTTCAAAGGCAAATAATTGCAATAGATTTTCGCAACCTTTTGGCAAGATATTCCACAAAAATAAAACTAAACTGCTCAATCTTCCATCAGGTCTTCTTTTTAGTTTCACATCAAGAAAGGGAACTACAGACTCGCTTTCCACTACAAGAGTGAATTTTATTGTCGAATGGCAGTTATCAAATACTTGTAGCAATCGACTGGCGTCGTAACTTTTATCGCCAATGATGAAAGTGTTATCGCCATACCTTGCAGACAGTTGTGGTCGGCATCAATCGACCCTCATCGGGACTAGAACTGACGAATTTTTAAAACTGTGCTCGTAACAACTCAACACTTTTGAAACTACACTCTTTCATGAAAATAAGTGAGACTG